TGACGTTTTCTGTGAAATACTGGAACTGCTATTTTATGATCACGTCCGTTGCCCACCAATAGTCACTTCATGATTCCTGTAATTTATTTCCTAGCTGGCATCCCACTGCATTAAGTTGTTTATGGAAACTGTGTATATTCATTATTATACAGGTAAACTGTACGGAAAAAAAGTGACACAATAAAGTCTATTCTATTTATTGTGTATCTTATGAGCACTAGTTCTTATCTACTACATATGTTTTCCATGATAAGAATCTATTGTAAAGTATATGAATAAAAATGAACAATGGTTAAATTAAAAAAATATATTAGGTACTGATGGGGACATTTCATTCAATGAATCCAAAATCTGATTAAGGGGCTATATACATAGGTATGGTTTTAACTTAAAGTGTTACTAAACCCAGGACCCTGCATTCATTATATCTGGTTTTCTACAGTACACACAATATGGAAATGCAATCATTTTAGTAAATACCAACTGCTAAATACCTTTTCTCATCAGCAGTTAAAGCAGTCTTGTGACTTCTATCAGTGTCCAGCAGAGCACTGGTTGAAGTTGTAGGAGGAGTTTTCATTCTCCCCTGATTGTCCTTTGAGGCTACAGGACCCTTGACTGTCTGTCTGGACAGTGCTGATTGGCCTTGTGCGTAAAAGGTAATGTTGCTTACAATTGGTCAAATGCTACCAACTACTCCTGTATATACTACAGCTAAAACTTGTAATAGTCCTCTAACAGAACTGTAAAGCAGTTGGAAAAAAGGATGGGACCCTTGAAAGAGCATCTATGTTCTACCTGTAGCTAAGTATTTGGTTACACTTTCCAATATTATTACATTTGTTATCTTCATCTGTCATTTCTTAATTAACTACTTACCCTTCAGAGGATTTACCCCCCTTCCTGACCAGGCCATTTTGCAATGTGGCGCTATGCTACTTTAACTGATAATTGTGCGGTCATGCAGCAATGTAAACAAATGAAATCGATGTCCTTTTTTCCCATAAATAGAGCATTCTTTTTAGTGGTATTTGATGATCTCTGTGTTTTTTATTTTTTGCACTATAAACAAAAAAAGATCGACAATTTTGCAAAAAAAAAAAAAAAAAATGACTTTTTGCTATAAAACATCCAGTAAAACAAAATTTAAAAAAATCTAATTTCTTCATAAATTTGCTAAAATAGTGCTAAAAAAAATCCCAATGCACGTATATTAATTGATCTACGGGGAAGTTATAGCATCTACAAATGGCGGTATATATACTGGATTTTTTTTTTAATACTAGTAATGGTGGCGATCAAGAACTTATATCAGGACTGTGGGACTACGGCGGGCATTCTGACACTGGGTGGGAACTGACTAACTGCCACTGACATCTCAATGCCACTAATACAGTGATCAGTGCTAATAAAAAGCACTGACACTGTACTAATGACACTAGGCAGGAAGGGGTTAACATCTGGGGCAATCAAAGGGTTATCTGTGTGTGTTTTGCTAGGGAGACATGCTGCTTTGTATTTCTCTGCTGTACAGAGAAATGCAAAGCAGCATGTCCTTGCTGGAAGGTGAGAGACCTGTGTTGTTTACACAGGTCTATCCTCTGTCAGCTTTCCCTGACAATGGTGGGGTACCAGTGGGGAATCTCTGGCCAGGACCCGGTGTTTGACATTCCTAGCCACCAAAGGTTAGGCGCACGCGCTCCCAACCAGAAAATGACATATATGTGATTTTGAGCAGCCCTGCCATCCTGTAGCAGTAGTTCTGCTATAGGGCAGCAGGGCAGTGGTTAAATGTTATACACACACAAGTGTTTGTGCGATCTCTCTTTGAACATCTCAAATAAATCCCCAAAATCCGTCAACTATCATGTAACAGTGATAAAACAGGTACACTTATGATCCTATAAGTGTAAGTCACACTTGCACCTTGCAACTATTCTTATCAGTGTAAACCACACTTGCACCATGCCACAAAGCTATATACCTCTGTGTACAAATATACTGTGCAAAAAAAAAAAAACTACGAAGAAAAAAATTAATTGAAAATATGAGCATTAAAAAATAGTGCTGCTGCCTCTTTAAAAATCAACCATACCAAACAGTGTCTGAAACCCTAACCTCAGTGTATGTCATATATCACTGATAGTCAGTGGCGTCCCTAGGCTTGGTGTCACCCGGAGTGGTAACACTTGGTGACACCCCCTCCGACGATCCACGCAGAATGGATTGGATCTGCGGATTGAGTCTAATGGATCGGACTCCGATCCATTATGCTCAATCTGCAGATACGATCCATCCTGCGGGGATCGTCGGCTTGCTCTACAACTTACCTTTTCGTGGAGTGGGTCCGCTGTCACCCCGTATAGATTGCATGCCAACGATCCCCACAGGATGGATCGGATCTGCGGTTTGGGGATCCGATCCATCCTGTGGGGATTGACGGGTTGCTTTACAACTTACCTTTTCATGGAGTGGGTCCGGTGTCACCCCGTGTGGTAGGTGTCACCCGGTGGGGCAGTCACCCCCTGCAGCTGCCTAGGGACGCCCCTGCTAATAGTGTCCACATATGATCCACATAATATTGTTCTTCATGCAGTGCTTGTGACCACCACTCCCATTGTGCAGATTCAATGACTCACAAGAAACCAATGCCTCACATCCAAAATGATCAGCATGCAGAGCTCAAATGGTTAATAACGACTCCAAACATGTCCTATTGTAATCTTGCTCCAGGATATGGTATCTTCTAAGACACTCTCCTTCCAACAGTCACCCATGAAAAAGAAAGGCTCCTCATAGGGCCAAACTTTGGCCCTAGGAGGAAGTCTGTACTAAAGAAACGTGCTTCAGGGCATTACCACACTTAGGACCAGGAGTGATGCAAGTGTGCTAACCACGAAGTGACGTTGAGGTAGCGAGCCATACCGTGAGGTGGAGAGATGCTGGTAAAGTGGGCACACTGACACTTGGTTTTATTATTGAAGGTGTTATTTTATAATGTGTTTGTGAGTATTTTATAGTGTACAGTTTGAATAATATTTGAATGTGTAGAGATACTGCACTATTGCAAGCCTTTCATTTTTATGTGTGACTGTTGGAAGGAGAGTGTCTTAGAAAATACCATATCCTGGTTGCTCTGGACTAAACAGTCATTTTTATTTCTCCAGCTCCTCTAAGTGTACAAGGATTTTATTGTATGTAATTAGAGATGTTTAGGTTCAGACTGATGTAAGAGTCAGTCCATACTTTGGTTGTTGGACGTTCAGTGAAAGGGTGAACTAAATGGGTGTTCGCCCGTCTGCCATTCGGCTGCAGCAAGAAGTCATACATTTAGCAGCTGTACAATACCACTGCTAAGTGTGACATCTTCTCTCTTAGGGCTCTTGGGCACTAGTTACTATGTACACCATGCTCATTCACTTGGGGGAGAGGGGTGGATGGTATCTGGGGGCCCCCAAATATTTTAAAGGGGCTTTCAGATTCTGATAATCCCTCAAAGCAGGTGCCTACTTTACAGGTCAGGGGTTTTGAGAAGAGGCCCTTGTCCTGTGGGGACAAGGTGTCTTGCCACAGGGTTCCCCAGTAAGGTGCAGTCCCCATTTTGAGGGCATGTTGTCTGGTATGATTCAGGGGTGATGGGGGATGTACATGTTCATTGCTCCCTATTTTCTGTCCAGCCATGCTGCATGTCATAATAAAGGTCAGGTATGAATTTTGGAGGGAACCCCATGATTATTTTTTTTTCTGCATGGGTTCCATATTAAAATGCAATCCAGTGCTTCATCAAAAAACAAGAACAAAGTGTGGGTTCCTCTCAAAATCTTACCTTGCTGCCTAGAAAAGAGAGGTCAAAAAGTATTCCCCCCTCCTAAACTATACCAGGCCACATGTGCTCAGCATGGGGGGGGGGGGTCCCTTTCCAGGGAAGACCCCTCCCCCCAGCTGAGCACCTTCCCCCCATGTTACTGAAGACAAGGGCTTATTCCCCAAAGCCATGGTTTAGTGGTTATGGAGATCTGTGGGGGCACATATACTGCCCCCTATGTGAATAGGTAAGGGGCACTTAGCACCCCGGGTTACTCATTTATAAAATAAAGTGACCAGATATGGTTCTGGTGGTATTTTTTTTTTCCATGGGCTTCTACCTTAAAATTCATTGTGGACCCAAAGTGTCTGGTATGGATTTTTTTCTGTGTTGGGGGGGGGGGGGGGGCAGCAATTCAAATTGTCACTTTTGCTATGATACATTGTATACATAATCCCTTCACATGCAGGTTTAGAGCACCCTTCAAGTAAGTTATTTAAAGTAATTTAGAATTTTTAATGTTTTATTTTAAGCAAAAGAGCTGCTACCCATTAAACAGAATTTAAAAAAAATGTTTGCATTGATACATTTATCCCAGGGCAGTGTCTATCACCCTGTGCTCTTTGTTGTATTTGTTGTGTTTTTTACAACAAAATCCAAAAGGAAAATGTCATTTGCCAGCAAATGGTATTTTTTATGTTTTACATGACACTTTTGCTGTAGAACATCCTACAGATGCACCATTTCACTGACAGGTGTTTGAGCATCCCTCAAGCATGGTATTTAAATTAGTTTTGCATTTTTAATGTTTTACTTTAACCGCCTCCCACCTGCCATATAAGGTAATGAATGGCGCAAGGCGGTTCTCTCATTCTGGGAGGACGTCATGTGACGTCCTCCCACTGTAACTGCACGTGCACGGCTTCGGGAGCACGCAGTGCAGCGATCAGTGGTGCGCTATGTCCGATCACAGATCAATAGTAAGAGCCAAAGATGTTGGCTCAGTCATGTGATCAGCTGTGTCCAATCATATCTGATCGCATGTAAATAGGGAAATGCCGGTTATCGGAATTTCTCTCCTCACGAGCTGTCACGCTGACAGTTCGAGAGGAGAAGAGAGCCGGTAATGGAGCATTCCACAGAGAGGACATGTACACTGATCATCAGGGCACTGTGATCAGTGTAGCCCCAGCAGTGCCACCTGTCAATGCTCATCAATGCAAGCTATCAGTGCTCATCAATGCCACCTGCCAGTGCCCATCATGCCTCATCAATGCCACATATAAGTACCTACCAGTGAACATCAATGCCACATATCAGTGCCCATCTGAACTGCCTTTCAGTGTCACCTATCAGTGCCAGTCAGTGCTACCTATCAATGCCAGTCAGTGCCACCTATCAGTGCCAGTCAGTGCCGCCTATCAGTGTCAGTCAATGCCGCCTATCAGTGCGCATAAGTGTCGCTTATCAGTGCCCGTCAGTGCTGCCTATCAGTGCCACCTAACAGTGCCAGTCAGTGCCACCTAACAGTGCCAGTCAGTGCCACCTAACAGTGCCAGTCAGTGCTGCCTATCAGTGCCACCCATCAGTGCAGTCTATCAGTGCCCATCACTGCAGCCTCATTAGCGCACATCAGTGAAGGAGAAAAATCACTTATTTACAAAATTTTATATCAGAAACTAAGAAAAAAAGTTTTTTTTCCCCAAAATTTTCAGTTGTTTTTGGTTTGTTTAGCAACAAATAAAAAAAAACCCCAGAGGTGATTAAATACCACCAAAAGAAAGCTCTATCTGTCTCAAACAAATGATAAAAATTTTCATATGGGTACAGTGTTTCATGACCGCGCAATTGTCATTCAAAATCCCACAGCAATGAAAGCTGGCCTGGGCAGGAAAGGGGTATAACTGCCCTGTAGGCAAGTGGTTAAAGTGTTACTTTACTGTCAACGCAAACCATATTGTAATGTATTAATATTAAAAAATGACTTTCCTTTTCAATCTGCAAAGCAATAATTTTCTGTGAAATTCAATGCAATATGGCAACCTGGAAGTGTTATATACACAGTTGGTTTATGAAATACCCCCAGAAATGTAATTTCCTGCTTTGTAATTGGATCACTGATTTTACCAGAAGTCATATAATTCATGCATGTTTTTTGCAACAAGAGCAATCTTATTGCACAAGCCTATGGAAAACTGCAGCAACTCTTATTTCAACCCTTCAAATTTTGGTTCACTATTGCTGGATCTAGCAAAATGCATTGTGATTAATTTATGCTGCTTGCTTTGTTTTGCACTTTTATTTTGTTCTATTTTATCTTGATTGAATTTTGTATTTGATGTTTAGGTAGCAGAACTGTCATATTTGGATTTAGATGGGATTGGTGAATGAATTGTGTTTGCGATTATGCTGTTCTTGTATTTGTTGTATCTTACTAAACAGAACCAAATATAGATAACATAAAGCCATATCTTGTGTGTGCATATATGTTTTGCATCAATTGTGCTATGAAGCCCTGTTTTCAACTCACAAAATATACATTGTAAAATGTAAAGACAGGTAATTAAATGAATAACTAGTGATGGGCCAAACACCCCTCTGTTCAATTTGCAGTAGCACATTCAAACCTATTACAAGTTCGACAGTGAACTTCCAACAGGGACAATTCACTAAGCGGTATCTTACCACATCTGAGTATGCGGTAAAATACTGCACATCTACTAAAATACCACATGAATTACATTATTCAGTCATATGGTATTTTAGTAGTGAAGATATTTTTTAATGTTTCAGCTGTCAGCTATCAGGCCACATGCCCTCAACATGGGGGGGTTGAGTCTCCCCCCAAAGCACCTTGTTCCCATGCCATGATTGTGGGGGTCTGTGAATGGGGCTTAACAAAATCTGGAAGCCCCCTTTAACAAGGGGGCCCCCATATCCCGCCTCTCCTATGTGAATGAGTATGGGATACATGGTACAGCTATCCATTCACAAGAAAATGTAGTGTACAAATAACAGGAGACAGTCTTTGAAAAGTCCTTTATTAAAAACAAAAAAATGAAATAATATCCCCCAAAGTAGATTCAACAATAATCACAATGCCTGCTGCTACTGCTGACCTGAAAAGAAAAAAAAAACTTCTCCGCTCTCGACGTTGGCTCCACCATCTGACAGCTGCACTGGAGTGACAGTTTTTAAATACTGTGATAATGTTACAAGAGGGGTAGGGTTACTCCCACCCCCTTGTGATGTTATCATGTGCTGTGATTGGCAAAAGCATTGCACCTGACCTGTGGTCAGGTGCACTTCTTTGGCTAATCACAATGCACTGTCAGGGCGAACAGCCCGCCGAACGCCCTTACCGTTCATTTGTTTACTGAACACACGAACAGCCCATGTTCGAGTCAAACTTATGTTCGACTTGAACATGAAGCCCAACCCTGTTAATAACGTGTGTAGAAAACCTCAGTTACCTATAAGGCTAAATTGCATTAGATGTACTGTAAAGTAAAGCTGCCTCATGGAAAAAAAGAATTTCTGACCTGCTTCTGAAAAGGCAAGTTATTGGAGTTGATTAATAAAGGCATATGGACTGTACACTTTGCAAGTGCAGTTCCACACTCAGAGCTTAGTAAATGAGGTGAAGCTTCACTTTGCAAAGAATACCCAATTACATTCAAGGAAAAAAAAATAACAGCATTTTTTCTTGCACATGATTGGATGATTAAAGTCAGCAGAGCTTCCCTTTATTTCCTAAGCTCTGGAGCTCTGGAGTGCAGTTGCACTTGCAGAGTGCACAGTCTGTTTGCAATTAGTAAATCAACCCCCATTGACTTGATCAAGCAGCCAAATCCTGTGTAGCCACAACTGCTGATCTGCAACATGTTACTATATGAGTCAGTAATTCAGAAAGGTTGTAAGCCAGATGATCAGTAAAAAGCTAGTGCTTTCAAAAGGAGAGCTCAGCAATTAAAGCTGACTCATGTCTATCACTATTGTTGTCCCTTAAAACATAAAGTAGTTGTAAATCCTTAAGGTTTTTACCTTAATGCATACTATACATTAAGGTAAAAAAACCTTCTGTGCCTGGGATCTCCCCAACCCCCCTTATACTTACCCGAGCCCCTTTGTGATGCAGCATTGTGCATGAGAGCAACAGCTTTCCTGGCTATGTTCCTCCTCAGAGGGCAGATCAATAGCAGTGGGAGCCATTGGCTCCCTCTGTTGTCAGTGAAAGTCTGTGATGAGGGTAGCAGGTGGCAGGACCATGACCCACTGTCTTTGTCTATGGATGCAGGCAGCAGGGCTTGGGAGCAAGCCCACATGAGTGCAGCCATAGGAAGTGGCTTGCTATGGGGGCACTGGATGAAGAGGAGGAGCCAGGAGGGCCGGCTGGGAACCTGAGAAGATGATAATTTGGGCTTCTCTGTGCAAAACCATTGCACAAAGCAGGTAAATATGACATGTTTATTATTTTGATAAATAAAAATAAAACTAAGCTTTACATCCACTTAAATTCAAACTTGAACAAAAAATACCATATTGTTGTCTCCAGAAGTCCTTAAAATGAAAAAGCACCCAGCACTTGTTTTCTTCATTTCACTGAATGTTGCCCAATGCTATTTGATGCATTATTTTAAGCCTGGGGTGTCATGACTGTATCTCCTGCACTGGATGCACAGGAAGATGCTGCAGAGAGTGTGACCTAGAAGAAGTAAACAGATTAAAGCTGACTTTTATATGCATATTTGTTTGAGATTGGTGACTTAGAAGATATTAAAGCCAATATGAGATCAATTAGGTAACTAGCATATTTAGAAACAGGTTATCAATGGATAAAGTCCTGGTAGTAGGATAAGGCTGGGACTAACCCCCAAGGCAAAGGCACTCTGTTTTTTTCCCAGTTGGCAGTGCTCATTACCCATTCCTGTTTGTGTATAGATCATATTTTTTTTAATATATTTACAAACATAACATTAGCCATGAGGGGAGCCTGGGAAGCATTACCGAGAGATCTGCTCTATGAAAAAAGTGAAGCATAGGGAACATTTGTAAAAAAAATATCATAATCAGCAATTCTGAAGCAAGAGGTATGTACTGAATGCTTACACGGTTTTCTGTTAAGCTGTAATTTGAATGTGATAACAAGGTTAGTGTATGACTTTAGACTCACTAGTCTGTCATGTAGGCACAATTGTAATAATTTGCTTCATATGAATTTATGCAAATAATATGCAAAATAGTTTGATTTGTGGAAAATAATATGATCCATAAATCTATTTGCCCACTTTCTCAATTGCATTGCTCCCCCCACAGATTAAACATATTTGCATTCAAATATATAGACAAATAAAAATGGAGTGAATATGCAATTTTTCTGATTTGTCCACCATTATGTATGATAACTATCTTTTGATATACTGTACTAAATTTGACAACAGCTTAGAACAGTAAAGATTGAGTTAAAAAATGCCCTATATAACATGAATTGAATTGTTTACAAAATCGTTATTTGTCTTATTTATAGTCACCAGCAGTTATGCTTTCATGCTATGCTTTAACTGTTGAATCATTACTTAAGAAAAATGCAGACCCATTTATTACAGTTAATGCCTATGCTTTACACAGGAAATATTGAAGGTGCATCTTGGTGTCCTACTTTCCAAATCCCAGTAGATTGCACCATATGATAATCTTTGAACATGAGTTGTTTTGCTACCTTGCTAAGCAAAAGAAATGCTAGCATTTTCTACACTACAAAACACTCTCAGTTCTCAGCAAAGCACAATATAAGATAAAAGAAACTGTTGTAGGACAGTCAATGGAATTAAAAGTTGTAACTACTTTATATTGACAGACGTAAGGGAGGCAGATTCATATATTACAGTAAACCATTGCTGTAAAGTATACTTTAATATGTCTCCCTTTATGTTTATCTTATATCCTGCTGTGGCTATAGTTATATTTTTTAATTGTTTATTGGTTTTACAGGAATCTTGGACAAAGTGATTACAAATAAGATTAAACATATGATCATTTAAGCTACATTTAATGTGTTTAAAGTACAGTATTAAAAATGTGATGCTGCAAATGATTTAAGATTTAATAAAGAAATTAAAGTGTAAATCTAGGCATGTATAAAAACATCCTTTTAACCAAGTTATATGTTTGCTATATATTTGTAACAAGTTAAGCACTGAAATACATGTATATGAAATGTTTTCTTTCTGCCAAAGTATTTGCAAATCTATCAATGAAGTAAAAGGTATCAGCTTCCATCCTCCTTACACATCCGCAAGAATATTAGAAGAAGATTACCAATCGGATATGCCAAAATTATTCTATAGTTTTGTAACATCCATATTGGATTACTGCAACACTCTCTACTATTGTAGAGCTACATAGTTTGCAGCTGACATAGAATGCAGCAGCCAGGCTACTCAGCACCCAAAAAGTGGAAATCACTGCCATCCATAGTGTGGAAAGCACCCCCTATGCATGTTTTCAAAAGCAGACTCAAGACACATCTATTCTCCTAGGCTTATAGCAACACCAGACAAAATCTTTTCCGCAAAGACCTAAAGAATATCAATTTGACAGCA